TATTGATATTTTGCAGCAAAAGGTCTTCGAATAAGTTTTCTCTTATTGTAAGGTATTCCATATTATCTTTATAACATTTGTAAATTGTGAATATTTATACAAAAAGTGTCGTAAATAAAGAATTCAGTAGTAAATGGAGTTTAATATTATTGAACAAAAATTACGATTTTTATTTTGACATGGAAGAAGATACTCATGAATGAATCGATGTTGTTTTACTTAATTAATGATTGGCTTATATACATATAATGTATAGCATTTGTGTGTTGCTCTGACGTTTCAAAACCGATTAGCGGCAGAGACTCTGTCTTTGCTCAACGAGCATCTCTGAAGCATGTTATCCTGAACGAACGTTTGTTATATTTTTAGATTACGAAATACCTCGAGCCTCCCGTCGCACCAAGAAACGGAAGTATTCACGCCAGTTTTCATGCCCTAATTCGAATTGTCGGCGTGCTTTCACGTTGGAAGTAAACCTGCGGCGTCACATTCGTGTCGAATGCGGCCAGAAGCCCAGGTTCAAGTGTCCCTATTGCGAGTATATTGTCAAGTACAAGTACAATTTACGGAAACACATTCAAAACAGACATAAGAATCGCTACGTGTATTTTATTGATACTTTGCAGCAAAAGGTCTTCGAATAAGTTTTCTCTTATTGTAAGGTATTCCATATTATCTTTATAACATTTGTAAATTGTGAATATTTTTACAAAAAGTGTCGTAAATAAAGAATTCAGTAGTAAATGGAGTTTAATATTATTGAATAAAAATTACGATTTTTACTTTGACATGGAAGAAGATACTCATGAATGAATCGATGTTGTTTTACTTAATTAATGATTGGTTTATATATAATGTATAGCATTTGTGTCGCTCTGACGTTTCAAAAACGATTAGCGGCAGAGACTCTGTCTTTGCTCAACGAGCATCTCTGAAGCATGTTATCCTGAACGAACGTTTGTTATATTTTCAGATTACGAAATACCTCGAGCCTCTCGTCGCACCAAGAAACGGAAGTATTCAGGCAAATTTTTATGTCCCAATTCAAATTGTCAGAGCGCTTTCGCGTGTAAAAGAAGTCTCTGGCGTCACAATCGTTTCGAATGCGGCCAGAAACCCAAGTTCCAGTGTCCTTATTGTGTCTATATTGCCAAGCATAAGCATCATGTACGACAACACATTCTGAGGAAACATAAGAATCGGCATATCTATGTCATCGATATTGTTCTGCAAAAAGTCCTAGAGTAAATTTTCTCTGACTGCAAGAATAATATCCCAAATTGACTTTGTAATATTTACAGAAAATGTATTTTAAATAAAGAATTCAGCAGTATATCGAGTGGAATATTATTTGTCAAACATTACAGTTACAGTTTTGAAAACAAAGAAGAAAATCTACATGAGAAATCAGATCTTGTCTTAATTACTTATTTGTTAGTTCATAAATAATATAATAGAGCGTTTATCTAGTTCTGACGTTTGAAAAATGATTAACAGCAAGAAATCTGTCTTTTGTCGACAAGCATCTCTGTTGCATTTTATGCTGAATAAACGTTTGTTATTTTTTCAGATTACAAAAGGCCTAGAGCTTCTCGTCGCACCAAGAAACGGAAGTATTCACGCCAGTTTTCATGCCCTAATTCGAATTGTCAGAGCTCCTTTTCCATGCAAAAAAACCTGCGGACTCACATTCGTTACCACTGCGGCCAGAAGCCCAAGTTTAAGTGCCCATATTGTGACTATATTGCCAAGCATAAGCACCATGTACAACAACACATTCCGAGAAAACATAAGAATTGGCATGTCTATGTTATTGATATTGCTCAGCAAATAGTCACAGAGTAAATTTTCTCTGGCTGCTAAAACAATATTCCAAATTGACTTTGTAATATTTACAAATTGGAAATATTTATACTAAATGTATTCCAAATAAAGCATTCAATGGTATATCGAGTGGAATATTCTTTGTCAAACATTACAATTACAGTTTTGAAAACGAAGAGGAATATCTACATGAGAAAGCATGCATCTTGTTTTAATTGATTATTTGTTACTTCAAAAATAATATAATACAGTGTTTATCTCGTTCCCACGTTTCAAAAACGATAAGCGGCAGAAACCCTGTCTTTGCTCGACAATCATATCTGAAGCACTTTATCCTGATCGAACGTTTGTTATTTTTTTAGATTACAAAAGGCCTAGAGCTTCTCTTCGCACCAAGAAACGGAAGTATTCATGCCCTAATTCGAATTGTCGGCGTGCTTTCACGTTGGGAGCAAACCTGCGGCGTCACATTCGTGACGAATGCGGCCAGGAACCCAAGTTCCAGTGTCCTTATTGTGTCTATATTGCCAAGCATAAGCATCATGTACGACAACACATTCCGAGGAAACATAAGAATCGCTATGTCTATGTCATCGATATTTCTCAGCAAAAAGTCTTAGAGTAAATTTTCTCTGACTGCAAGAACAATATCCCAAATTCACTTTGTAATATTTACAAATTGGAAATATTTACACAAATTGTATTTTAAATAAATAATTCAGCAGTATATGGAGTGGAATATTATTTGTCAAACATTACAATTACAGTTTTGAAAACGAAGAAGCAAATCTACATGTGAAAGCAGATCTTGTCTGAATTAATTATTTGTTACTTTAAAATAATATAATACAGTGTTTATCTCGTTCCCACATTTCAAAAACGATTAGCGGCAGAAACTCTGTCTTTGTTCGACAATCATATCTAAAGCACTTTATCCTGATCGAACGTTTGTTATTTTTTTAGATTACAAAAGGCCTACAGCTTCTCTTCGCACCAAGAAACGGAAGTATTCATGCCCTAATTTGAATTGTCGGCGTGCTTTCACGTTGAGAGAAAACCTGCGGCGTCACATTCGTGACGAATGCGGCCAGAAGCCCAAGTTCAAGTGCCCTTATTGTGACTATATTGTCAAGCGTAAGCACAGTGTACGAAGACACATTTGGCGAAAACATGAGAATTGCTATATCTATGTCATCGATATTTCTCAGCAAAAAGTCTTAGAGTGAATTTTCTCTGACTGCAAGAATAATATCCCATATTCATTTCATAATATTTACAAATTGTACGTATTTATACAAAATGTGTTGTCAATAAAGAATTCAGTAGTAACTTATCGAGTGGAATATTATTTGTCAAACATTACAATTACAGTTTTGAAAACGAAGAAGAAAATCTACATGTGAAAGCAGATCTTGTCTGAATTAATTATTTGTTACTTTAAAATAATATAATACAGTGTTTATGTCGTTCCCACATTTCAAAAACGATTAGCGGCAGAAACTCTGTGTTTGTTCGACAATCATATCTAAAGCACTTTATCCTGATCGAACGTTTGTTATTTTTTTAGATTACAAAAGGCCTAGAGCTTCTCTTCGCACCAAGAAACGGAAGTATTCATGCCCTAATTCGAATTGTCGGCGTGCTTTCACGTTGAGAGGAAACCTGCGGCGTCACATTCGTGACGAATGCGGCCAGAAACCCAAGTTCAAGTGCCCTTATTGTGACTATATTGCCAAGCGTAAGCACACTGTACAAAGACACATTTGGCGAAAACATGAGAATTGCTATGTCTATGTCATCGATATTTCTCAGCAAAAAGTCTTAGAGTAAATTTTCTCTGACTGCAAGAATAATATCCCATATTCACTTTGTAATATTTACAAATTGGAACTATTTACACAAATTATATTTTAAATAAATAATTCAGCAGTATATCGAGTGGAATATTATTTGTCAAACATTACAATTACAGTTTTGAAAACGAAGAAGAAAATCTACATGTGAAAGCAGATCTTGTCTGAATTAATTATTTGTTACTTTAAAATAATATAATACAGTGTTTATCTCGTTCCCACATTTAAAAAACGATTAGCGGCAGAAACTCTGTCTTTGTTCGACAATCATATCTGAAGCACTTTATCCTGATCGAACGTTTGTTATTTTTTTAGATTACAAAAGGCCTAGAGCTTCTCTTCGCACCAAGAAACGGAAGTATTCATGCCCTAATTCGAATTGTCGGCGTGCTTTCACGTTGGAAGCAAACCTGCGGCGTCACATTCGTGTCGAATGCGGCCAGAAGCCCAAATTACAGTGTCCTTATTGTGACTATATTGCCAAGTATAAGCATCATGTGCAACAACACATTCTGAGGAAACATAAGAATCGGCATATCTATGTCATCGATGTTGTTCTGCAAAAAATCCTAGAGTAAATTTTCTCTGAGTGCAAGAATAATATCCCATATTCATTTTATAATATTTACAAATTGTAACTACTTATACAAAATATGTCAGAAATAAAGAATTCAGCAGCATATTGAGTAAAAAATTATATTTTCTTTGTCAAAAATTATATTTTTAGTTTTGAAAGGGAAGAATAAATTTACATTGAAAAATCTTGTTTGAATTAATTAAGTATTACTACAGTTTCAGTGATCGAGTTGGTTAAGACACCCGTCACGGATTGAAAGAGGGCCCTAGTACCAATCTTGGCTGCAGTAATATTTTTCGCAATGTGAATTCTTTACAGTATGGGGCGGTAGGTATTTTGAATGATAAAGGTAGCATTTAAAATAAGTGGAAGTCGTTTATCGATTTTAATATGTGAATTCACCGACGACAATGATTCTATGTAAATGAAACTGTGTTACGTCCGATGAGAAACCAGCACACAGGACAAGGTGGAAAACGGTATAAGAATTCACATTGTAGATTACAATTATCGGACTACCAATATCTTAATCGAACCTAAAGGCGCTCTCGATTGTATAATTAAGTATTAGTTTACGAATAATAACATTTATCTCGGTCTGACGCACCGAAAACGATTAGTGGCAGGAAGTCTGTCATTTCTCGATAACCACCTCTAAAACATGATATTGCGAACGAATCGTTATTTTTTCAGATAACAAAAACACCAGGACCTATTGGCGCACCCAGGAAGGGAGGTATTCAGACATGTTTGCGTGTCCTAATCCGAATTGTCGTAGCGTCTTCAAGTGGAAGAAGAATCTGCAATTCCACATTCGCCACTATTGCACACTGAAGCCCAGGTTCAAGTGTCCTTACTGCGAGTATATTGTCAAGTACAAGGCGGATATACGGAAACACATTCTGGCTAGACATAAGAATCGCTATGTTTATGCTATCGATACTTCACAGCAAAAAGTCGTCGAGTAAATTTTGTTTGATTTAAAGGAATAATATACAGACGATATATATGTCACATTTGATAATGTAAATATTTATACAAAATATGTCATGAATAAAGAACTCAGCAGCATATTGAGTGAAATCTTTGTCTATTACATTTGCAGTTGTGTAATGGAAGAAACAATTTGCATTGAAAAGAAGAACTCATTTGAATTAATTAATTAATTATTACTTTAAGTATAATAGCGTTTATCTTGTTTTGGAATTTCAAGAACGATTAGCGGCAGGAACTAACAATAAGTCTTTTCTCGATGAGCACCTCTGAAACATGATATTGCAAACAAATCGTTATTTTTTTAGATAAGAAAAACGTCAGGACCTATCGTCGCACCAAGGAACGGACGTATTCAGAGGTGTTTTCGTGTCCTAAACCAAGTTGTCGGAGACATTTCATGTTGAAAAAAACCCTGCAGCGTCACATTCGTTACGAGTGTGGCCAGAAGCCTAGGTTTAAGTGCCCCTATTGCGATTATATTACTAAGTATAAGCACAATGTGCGACAACACATTTTGAGAAAACATGGGATTCGGCGTATTTATGTCATTGAGATTTCCGAGTAAAAAGTCCTTAAGTACATTTTCTTGACTTCAAATATTATAAAGACGATATGGCATATATGACAAAGTAAAAATGTATACCAGATATTTAATGAATAAAGAATGTAGTAACATGTTGAGTGAAATCTTTGTCTACAATTACATTTGCAGGTGTGAAATGGAAGAAAAAGTTTACATGGAAAAGAACTTCTTTGGATTACTTAATTAATTGTTAATTTACGTATAATAGCGTTTATCTCGCTCTGGAATTCCAGGAACGATTAGCGGCAGGAACTAATTGTAAGTCTTTTCTCGATGAACACCTCTGAAACACGATATTTGCGAACGAATCGTTATTTTTGTAGGTAACAAAAACGTCAGGACCTATCGTCGCAACAAGGAAGGGACGTATTCAGAGGTGTTTCCGTGCCTTAATCCGAATTGTGGGAGCGTCTTCACGTTGAAACGAAACCTGCAGACTCACATTCGCTACCAGTGCGGCAGGGAGCCCAAGTACAAATGCCCTTATTGCGACTATGTTGTCAAGTACAAGTCGAACATACGGGCACACATTCCGAAAAAACACGAGGATCGCTTTGTCTATGTCATCGACATTTCTGAGCAAAAAGTCATAGACTAAATTTTCTCGGACTGCAAGAACAATATCTTATATTGACTTTATAATATTTACAAATTAATGTTTATACAAAATATGTGGTAAAGAAAGAATTCAGTAGTAACTTATCGAGTGGAATATTATTTGACAAAAAGTTCAATTACAGTTTTGAACTGGAAGTAGGAAATCTACATGAGAAAGCAGATCTTGTCTTACTTAATTATTTGTTAGTTCACAAATAATATAATACAGCGTTTATCTCGTCCTGACGTTTCAAAAACGATTAGCAGCAGAAATTCTGTCTTTTCTCGACGAGCATCTCTGTCGTATTTTATCATCAACGAATGTTCGATACTTTCCGAGATTACAAAAAACCTAGGGCCTCTCGTCGCAACAAGGAACGGAAGTATTCAGGCAAGTTTTTGTGCCCTAATTCGAATTATAGGAGCGCCTCCACGTGGGAAAGAGACCTCTTGGATCACGTTCGCCACCAATATACTGTTAACTACAAGCACAATGTACACAAAGACACCTTCTGACAAAACATAAGAATCGGCATGTCTATGTCATCGATAGTTTTGAGTAAAAAGTCTTTAAGTAAACTGTCTTGACTTCAAATATTATAAATACCATATGGCATATGTGACAATGTAAATACTTATACAAAATTTGTCATAAGTAAAGAATTCAGCAGCATATAGAGTGAAACCTTGGTCAAAAATTGTATTTGCAGTTTTGAAAGGGAAGAAAAAATTTACATTGAAAAATTCTTGTTTGAATTAATTAATTATTATCGCAGGTTGAGTGGTCGGGTTGGTTAAGATACTCGTCACGGATTGAAGGAGGTCCCTGGTTAGAATCCTGGCTGGGGTAATTTTTCAGCAATAAGAGTACTTTACAGTACGAGGCGAAGGTTTTGAATGCGAAATATAGCATTTAAAATAATTAGAATTTTTTACCAATTTTAATCTGTGTATTCATTGCCGACAATAATTCGATCTAAATAAAACTGCATTACGTTCGATAAAAACCGGCGCGCAGCACAAGGTGGAAAGCGGTATATAAATTTATATTTTAGATTACAATTATTGTGCTACCAATATCTCGCACCGACCTAAAGGCGCTCTCGCCTGTTTAATTAATTATTATTTTAGGAATAATAACATTTATGTCTTTCTGACGTTCCAAGAACGATTAGTGGGAGGAACTCTGTCTTTTCTCGATGAACACCTTTGAAACATTATATTGCGAATGAATCGTTATCTTTTCAGATGACAAAAACACCAGGAACAACAAGGAAGGGAGGTCTTCAGACAAGTTTGCGTGTCCTAATCGTAATTGTCGGAGCACCTTCACGTGGAAAAAGAACCTGCAGACCCACATTCGCTACCAATGTGGCAAGCAATTCAAGTTTAAGTGTCCTTACTGCGAGTATATTGTCAAGTACAAGGCGGATATAGGGAAACACATTCTGGCTAGACATAAGAATTGCTACGTCCATGTCATCGATATTTCCAAGCAAAAGGTGGTCGAATAAATTTTCTTTGACTTCGAATATTATAAAGGCGATATGGAATATGTGACAATGTAAATATTTAATACAAAATATGTCACAAATAAAGTATTCAACAGCATATTGAGCGAAATATTATTTGTCAAAAATTACAATTGCAGTGGTGAAAGCGGAGAAGAAAATCTACATAGAAAGAAGAATTGTTGTTGAAATTAATTGTTATTTTACGAATAATAGCGTTTATCTCGTTTTGCAATTTCAAGAACGATAAGCGGCAGGAGTTCTGCCTTTTCTCGATGAGCAACTCTGAAACATGATATTGCGAACAAATCGTTATTTTTGTTTTAGATAACAAAATCACCTGGACCTCTCGTCACGCCAAGAAACGGAAGTATGTTGGCGAGTTTTCGTGTCCTAATCTGGATTGTCGGAGTTCCTTCATGTTTCCCAAGAATCTGCAATCCCACCTTCGCACCTATTGCACACTGAAGACCAGGTTCAAGTGTCCTTACTGCGAGTATATTGTCAAGTACAAGGATGTACGGAAACACATTCGGGCTAGACATAAGAGTCGCTACGTTTATGTCATCGATACTTTGCAAGAAGTCGTCAAGTAAATTTCTTTTATTTCAAGAAATATAAAGACGATATGGCATATGTGACAATGTATATATTTATACAAAATATGTCATAAATAAAGAATTCAGCAGCATATTGAGTGAAATATTATTTGTCCAAAATTACAATTGTAGTTTTGAAAGCGAAGAAAAAATTTGCACGGAAAAGAAGGACTTGTTTGAATTAATTAATTAATTATTATTTTACGAATAATGGCGCGTTTGTTTCGTTTTGAAATTTCACCAACGATTAGCGGCAGAAATTCTGTTTATTTCTCGATGAGCACCTCTGAAACATGATATTGCGAACGAATCGTTATGTTTTTAGGTAACAAACAGACGAGAGCCTATCGCCGCACCAAGGATGGGACGTATATAGAGGTGTTTCCGTGTACTAATTTGAATTGTCCGAAAACCTACACTTCGCAAGAGAAACAGCAGTCCCACACTCGCCACCATTGCTATCAAATGCCCAAGCCCAAGTGCTTCTATTGTCAAGCTAAAGAAGGATGTACGAAGACACAATCTGAGAAATCAAAGGAATAGCAATGTCTGTATTAGCGATACTTACAGACAAAAGACCCTTGAATAAATTTTCTTGACTGTAAATGTTATGACGATAATATGGCGTATACAAACTGTGTTATAAATAAAGAATTCGACACCATATTGAGTGAAATCTTCGTCGAAAATTTTATTTGCAGTTTTGAAAGGGAAGAAAAATTTTACATGTGGAGAAAGAACGTGTTTGAATTAATAAATTATTATTTTACGATTAATTTCGTTTGTCTCGTTTTGGAATTTCAAGAACGATTACCAGCAGGAATTCTGTCTTTCTCGATGAACATCTCTGAAACATTATATTGCCAACGAATCGTTATATTTTTTAGGTAAGAAAGTCTACAGGATCTATCGGCGGGAGGAGGAAGAGATAAATTCAGAGGAGTTTTTGTGTCCTAATCCAAATTGTCAGAGCACCTTCACGTTGGAAAGAAACCTGCAGGCTCATATTCGCTACCAATGCAACCGGAAGCTCAGGTTCAAGTGTCCCTACTGCGACTATATTGTCAAATACAAGGCGGATATATTGAGACACATTCCGAGAAAACATAAGAATAGCTATGTCTATGTCATCGATACTTTCGAGCAAAAAGTCCTGGAGTAAATTTTCTTCGAGTTCAAGAATATTATAAAGACGATATGGCATATTTATCAATGTAAATATTCACGAGTGATACAATGTAAATATTTATACAAAATGTGCCTTGAATAAAGAATTTAGCAGCATATTGAGTGAGATCTTTGTCAAAAATTACATTAGCAGTTTTGGAAGGGAAGAAGAAAATCTACATGGAAAGAAGAATTCTTGTTTAGATTAATTGTTATTTTACCAATAATAATGTTTATCTCGTTCTGAAATTTTACGAAGGATTAGCAGCAGGAATTAACAATAAGTCCCTTTTCAATGAGCACCTCTGAAAGATGATATTGCGAACGAATCGTTATTTTTTTAGGTAACCAAATTACCAGGACCTATCGTCGCACCAAGGAAGGGATGTATTCAGAGGTGTTTTTGTGTCCTAATCCGAATTGTCAGAGCGTCTTCACGTTGGAAAGAAACCTGCAGACTCACATTCGCTACCAATGCGGCCAGAAGCCCAAGTTCAAGTGCCCTTATTGCGACTATATTGCTAGGTACCAGAAGGATGTACGGAGACACATTCTGGCTAGACATAAGAATCGTCATGTCTATGTCATCGATACTTCCAAGCAAAAAGTCCTGGAGTAAATTTTCTTCGAGTTCAAGAATATTATAAAGACGATATGGCATATTTATCAATGTAAATATTCACGAGTGATACAATGTAAATATTTATACAAAATGCGCCTTGAATAAATAATTCAGCAGCATATTGAGTGAGATCTTTGTCAAAAATTACATTAGCAGTTTTGGAAGGGAAGAAGAAAATCTACATGGAAAGAAGAATTCTTGTTTAAATTAATTGTTATTTTACCAATAATAATGTTTATCTCGTTCTGAAATTTTACGAAGGATTAGCAGCAGGAAATAACAATAAGTCCCTTTTCAATGAGCACCTCTGAAAGATGATATTGCGAACGAATCGTTATTTTTTTAGGTAACCAAATTACCAGGACCTTTCGTCGCACCAAGGAAGGGATGTATTCAGAGGTGTTTTTGTGTCCTAATCCAAATTGTCAGAGCACCTTCACGTTGGAAAGAAACCTGCAGACTCACATTCGCTACCAATGCAGTCAGAAGCCCAGGTTCAAGTGTCCCTACTGCGACTATATTGTCAAATACAAGTCGGATATACGGAAACACATTCGGAGAAGACATAAGAATAGCTACGTCTATGTCATCGATACTTCCGAGCAAAAAGTCCTGGAGTAAATTTTCTTCGACTTCAAGAAATATTATAAATACGATATTGCATATTTAACAATGTACATATTCACGAGTGGTATAATGTAAATATTTGTGCAAAATGTGTCGAGAATAAAAAATTCAGTGTCATATTGAGTGAGACCTTTGTCAAAAATTACATTTGCAGTTTTAAAAGGGAAGAAGAAATCTACGTGGGAGAGGTCTCGTGTGAATGAAGTAATTATTATCACACCCTCAGTGGACGAGTTGGTTAAGATACCCGTCACAGATTGAGGGAGGTCCCAGGTTCGAATCCTGGCTGGGCTAATATGTTTCGCAAGAAGAATTCTTTACAGTGCTGGCGGCGGGTATTGAATACTAAATATAGCACTTAAAATAATTAAAAATTATTTAACCATATGTTAATACGTCAATTCACTGACGACAATGATAAAAGTGCGTTATGCCCGATAAGAAATTGGCATGCGCGCGGGACAAGGTGGAAAACTGTATACGAATTTACATTTTAGATTACAATTATTGACCTACCACTCTCTTGCTCGGACTTAAAGGCGCTTCCGCTTGTTTAATTAATTATTATTTTACGACTAACAGTATTTAGCTCGTTCCGACGTTCCAAGAACGATTATTGGCAGGGACTCTGTCTTTTCTCGATGGACACCTCTGAAACATGATATTGCGAACAAATTGTTATTTTTTCAGATAATGAAAACACCAGGGCCTATCTTCGTACCAAGGAAGGGAGGTATCCAGGCATGTTTTCGTGTCCTAATCCGAATTGTCAGAGCATCTTCAAGTGGAAGAAGAACCTGCAGGTCCACGTTCGCTACCAATGCGGCCAGAAGCCCAAGTTCAAGTGCCCTTATTGCGACTATATTGTTAGGTACAAGAAGGATGTACGGAGACACATTCTGGCTAGACATAAGAATCGTTATGTCTATGTCATCGATACTTCCGAATAAAGTAATTTTCTTGACTTCAATATTATAAAGACGACATGGAATATGCAACAATGTAAATATTTATGCAAAATATGTCATGAATAAAGGATTTAGTAACATATTGAGTGAAAACTTTGTCCAGAATTGCATGTGCAGTTTTGAAAGGAAAGAAGAAATCTACGCGGCGAAAGGTCTTGTATGAAATGAAGTAATTATTATCACAGCCTCACTGGTCGATTTGGTTAAGATAACCGTCACGGATTGAGGAGGTCCCAAGTTCGAATCCTGGCTGGGGTAATAGTTTTCGCAATAAAAATGCTTTACAGTACCGGGAGAGGGGGGGGGGGGTATCAATGTTAAATAGCATTTAAAATAATTCTAAATTGTTTATCGATTTTAATACGTGAATGTACTGGCGACAATGATTCCATCTAAATAAAACTATGTCCTGCTGGATAAAAAACGCAGGACAAGGTGCAAAACGGCATACGAAGTTACAATTCAGATTACTAGATAACATAAGCACGCGCGAAGCGCGCGCCATTTGCCCTATCTAAAAATTTGCATGGGTTGACAGCTGCAAATAACACGACTGAAACATGTTGTATTGCACAAGCGAGACAGCCAATCTCGGAAAAGCGACAACAATACTTCGAGACTTTCGACTATCGACTTAACATGCCTCCCTTATATAGGAAAAACAACAACAATTGGGCCAGCAATATCTTACTCGGACCTAAAGGCGCTCTCGCTTGTTTAATAAATTATTATTTTAGGAATAATAGCATTTATCTCGTTCTGACGTTCGAAGAACGATTAGTGGCAGGAGGTCTGCCTTTTCTCGATGGACACCTCTGAAACATGATATTGCGAACAAATTGTTATTTTTTTTTCAGATTTTAAGTACACCAGGACCTATCGTCGCACCAAGGACGGGAGGTATTCAGAGGTGTTTCCGTGCCCTAATACGAATTGTAAGAGCGTCTACAAGTGGAAGAAGGACCTGCTGTACCACATGCGCAACCGATGTGGTCTGAAGCCCAAGTTCAAGTGCCCTTATTGCGAATATATTGACAAGTACAGGCAGAATGTACGATTACACATTATGAAAAGGCATAAGGATCGCTTCGTCATTGTCCTCGATATTTCCGAGTAAAAGGCTCTCGAGTAAATTTTCTTAACTTCAAGAAATATTATAAAGATAATACCGAATATTTAACAATGTGAAGATTTATACAAAATAGGTTATAAATAAAGGATTCAGTGGCATATTGATTGATTGAGTGGAATATTATTTGTCAAAAACCACAATTGCGGTTTGGAAAGGGTAGAAGAAAATCTACATGGAAGAGAAGAACTTGTTTGAATTAATGAATTGTTATTTTACGAATAATAGCGTTTATATCGTTCTGAGATTTCAAGAGCGATTAACGGCAGGAATTCTGTCTTTGCTGGATGAGCACCTCTGAAACACGATGTAGCGAATGAATAATTTTTTTTTTCAGATGACAGAAACCCCGGGATCTATGATCACACTAAGAGAAGGAAGTATCCAGGCATGTTTTCGTGTCCTAATCCGAATTGTCGGAGCTCATTTCGGTCGAAAAAGACCCTGCAGTGCCACATGCGCTACTATTGCATATGGAGCTCTGGTTCGCGCCTCTGAAGCTCAGGTTTAAATGTCCCTACTGCGAGTATATTGTCAAGTACAAGAACAACGTACGAAGACACATTCTGGCTAAACATAAGACTAGCTATGTCTATGCCATCGATATTTCTCAGCAAAAAGTCGTCGAGTAAATTATTTTTTATTTCAAGAAATATTATAAAGACGATATGGCATATGTGACAATGTATATTTATATAATATATCGTTTATAAAATATATCATAAATAAAGAATTCACCAGTATATTGATTGAAATATTATTTGTTCAAAATTACAATTGCAGTGTGGAAAGCGAAGAAGAAAATCTACATGGAAAAAAGAATTCTTGATTGAATTAATTGTTATTTTACGAATAATAGCGTTTATCTCGTTTTGAAATTTCACGAATGATTGGCGGCAGAAACTAACAATAAGTCACTTCTCGATGAGCGTCTATGAAAGATGATATTGCGAACGAATCGTTATTTTTTTCAGATAACAATTGCCCCAAGACTTTTCATCTCACCAAGAAACGACGCTATTTAAACAAGTTTGCGTGCCCTAATCCGAAGTGTCGGCGTGCCTTCATGTCGCAGGAGAACCTGCAGTTCCACATTCGCTACTATTGTACTCAGAACCCCAGGTTCAAGTGTCCCTACTGCAATTATATTGTTAAGTACAAGGCGGACATACGGAAACACATTCTGAGAAAACATAAGAATAGCTATGTCTATGTCATCGATATTTCTCAGCAAAAAGTCGTCGAATAAATTATTTTTGATTTCAAGAAATATTATAAAGACGATATGGCATATGTGACAATGTATATTTATATAATATATCGTTTATAAAATATATCATAAATAAAGAATTCACCAGTATATTGAGTGAAATATTATGTATTTGTTCAAAATTACAATTGCAGTGTGGAAAGCGAAGAAGAAAATCTACATGGAAAAAAGAATTCTTGTTTGAATTAATCGTTATTTTACGAATAATAGCGTTTATCTCGTTTTGAAATTTCACGAATGATTGGCGCCAGAAATTAACAATAAGTCACTTCTCGATGAGCGTCTATGAAAGATGATATTGCGAACGAATCGTTATTATTTTCAGAAAACGATTGCCCCAAGACTTTT